TTTATATTTAACAGGGTAAATTAAAGGGTGGAGGAAAGGTAGCAGGTATCATATATACGCGAAAAAGAGCAATGACCAATAAGTACAGCATGTATCCTTTCATGGTCATCCATCCATGCATGCAATACTTTCTTTTTTCTCTTATTTAAATAATATCCGCATTATAATGATTGAATAAGTAAAACTAAATATAAAAAATAAATAGTTAGTAAATAATTATGAATAAAAAATTGATTTTGTTTGTTGTTGATAGTCTTTCCTTTTCAGTTTGTACAGCACGCCGTAATCAGTGAAACATTTACTGAAATGAAGTTGGAAAAAGATGAATAGTGCATGTGAGAAAGCATGAAAAGAGAGAGTTCCCTATGCGACTCGTGTGATGGGCTTTTATGTTTAGTCTTTGGCGAATGATGCAAAATTTAAGGTAATTTTGTCTGTGAATAAATTGATATATTAGATACATATGAGTGTTAACTATTAGATTTAATTATATTAAAGATCACATTAAAAATTGAGAGGTATGAACTTCATAAATATGTCCCAAAGAAAATGATTTTATGGATGGTATGATGTTTTTGTTTTATTTTTATTAATATAAAGTAATTATAAGTGACAATATGTACTGTAAATTCTTAACAATTTGATATTGAACATACAAATTCTATAATCGTTTGTGTTCGATAGAAATTAACACCTCTAAAAATAATTATTATTTCTTTAATCACTGTCATAACTTAATTTTAAAAGTTTCCAATAAACCTTTGAAAATTCGGTTAAGAAGGTAAAAATTTTCAGATATATTTACTTACGAAAATTCAATAAATTTCTTATAGAGTTATAATAATAATTTCCTCAAATTTTTAATACGTTATATTTCGAGTTAAACAAAAATGTGAAACGTTTTGGTGTTTTTGTGCCATAAAAAAAGCCATCGCTCAGTCCTTGCACGTTGCTCTGTCTCCTCTTCCTATCTATAAATCATTCCCCTCATCGTCCTTGATTTTTCCTTCCCTCTATTCCTGTCTCTTTTCTCTGGTTCGTTCCTTTCAAAGGAAAACTGGGGGAAGAAATAAGAGAGAGAAGGGGAGAGAGAAGATGGACATGTACGGGGTTTCAACTCCGGAAGTGTTTCCCATCGATGATCTTTTGGATTTGTCCAACGAAGAGCTGTTTTCATCTGCTTCTACTTCCACAAACAAACCTGCTTCTGAAACCACTTTCAGCTTCGCCTCCTCTTCCTCTGCCGCATTTCATTCCTCTTTCTCCAACAACGACTTCCCCCACGACCTTTGCCTTCCCGTAATAACTTCACTTTTTTTTTCTGTTCTTTTCTGTTTCTTTTTATCTGCGTGGTTGAGGTTAATTAGTTGTTGTTGTTTTGCAGACTGATGATGTGGCTGAGCTGAAGTGGTTGTCGCAGTTCGTAGATGATTCTTTCAGCGACTTTCCCTCGAACTCGCTCGCCGGAACCATTGACCCTAGAAATGACCACTCGTCGTTTTCTAGCAAAGCTTGGAGCAAGCGTTCCAGAGCGGCGCCAACAACCTCGAAGACGAAAAGGGAAATCCAGCGTCAAGCATCTCCGGTTGCGGCGGAAACAGGTGTTCGGCGATGTACACACTGCGCGTCGGACAAGACGCCGCAGTGGAGGACGGGACCATTAGGGCCGAAGTCGTTGTGCAACGCTTGTGGGGTTCGGTATAAGTCGGGTCGTCTCGTGCCCGAGTATCGACCCGCTGCAAGCCCGACATTCGTGCTAACACAGCACTCGAACTCGCACCGGAAGGTGTTGGAGCTGCGCAGGCAGAAGGAGCTGTCGGGACAGCAGCAAGAGCATGAACACCACCGCCACCTCCACCAGCAACAACAGCACGACTTTGAGGTGTGCTGACGTGCTAAAATCTTAGTCTTGTTACTGTAAGTCCGTTCAACGAGAGTGTACTATTTTGGACCCTTTTGGCAATCTTCATCATCATCATCATCAAACGTGTCGCTTCTTCGTTTCTCTTTATGACCTATTTTATTTATTTTCTATTTTTATATGATTATAAAAATAGATTTAAATACATCAAAGGTAACTTAATTATATTTTAAGAGAAAATTATTTTGGTGAACCGAAAATGTCTTATAATATACGATTTTGATCAAATTTTTTTTGATTTTTTAAAATGACCAACAAAATCGCAATGCGATCTTTAAATCATAATGCGATCTTCAGTATCACAAATCAATTTTCAGATTCGCAACGCGATAATATAGAATCGTGTTATTACGATTTTAGAAAATCACAATGCGAATATGTAATACATAATCGCAACACAATTTTTTAAATTTACGTTAGTCCAAATTCGTTGCGATTTCTTAAGAATTTTTTCTAAAAATATAGTATCCGCGCGGACGTGTCGAAGATATGTATTACCACAATCAAGACCACGAGACGGACCCGACGATGACGGCGGTGGTGCACGAGAATCCCCCTTGTTCTCTTCCACTTAACAAGAAAATGAAAAATTCAAGCCTTAAATACTCATTCTCAATAGTATTTTCAATACTATGTGAGATTGAGTATTGTAAACAATTGGGAATCTTTTACACTATCGTAACATATTCTTTATTGTTTCAAACTAAGATCTTACAAATAGCTTGAGAATCTTTTATACTATCGCAACACATTCTTTATTGTTTCAAACTTCACGTGAATTTAGAATAGTTAAAATGTAAACTTTTGGATTTTTCACTATCGCAACACATTTTTCACTATCGCAACAACACGTTTCAAACTTCAAAATTCTCGCAAATATTTTAACTTATTTTATCGCAATCATATTTTAACTATCACAACATATTTTTTAAAATCGTGTTGCGAATCTGGATATTCGCGTTGCGAATTTGGAAACTGAGTTGAAAAATTAGAGTTCGCGTTGCGATTTTGTTGGTCATTTTGACAAATCCAAAAAAAAAATTGGTTAAAATCGTATATTATAAGACATTTTCGGTCACTGAGGTTATTTCTCATATTTTATAACAACAAATATATATTTTAAAAAAAATTATAAATATGTTATAAATTAATATATTGTTACAAATATATGATGATCTAATGTAATACAATTTAATTCTTAAAATTTATTATCTATCTATTTAATTATAAAATTCAGAAGTGTTTAATAAATTATCTTTTTTTTTTTCTATATATATATTATATTAATTTTAGTTTTTATCATTCTCTGAAAGATAGTATATTACTTCTTTATTGTTATTGATGATTATGATAAGTTTATTTGTCAAATTACTATTTTGATTCGATAGACTCATATTATCAATTAATATTAACTACGATTTGATAGTATAAAAAATAAATAGATAAAATATTAAGTATAATTGACTACTTTATTAAATATTTTAAATTAAGATAAAACTAATAAAATATAAATTTTAGATATTGAAAATAGTATATTTGTCAAATAAATATCTATTTAATTTTTGAAAATGAAGTGACCAATTTATAATATTATTTTATTTGAATTACTTTTTGTGTAGTATTTTAAAATCATTTATTAAATAATTTAGAGTATATTTATCCTTTGTGTAGTATTTAAAAAATCATTTATTAAATAATTTAGAGTATATTTTATCCTAAAAAATAATTAAATGTTGGTTGGGACGAGGAGTGAAGTTTTCAAAAGTTCAACTACCCATTGGTTGCGTACTTTAACGGTGGTTTGAAAGTTAGGAGAGAGAATGGGTGATGTTTAAGTGTGAGGAGTGACTTTCCACGTGAGCACCGCCGCTTATGCAAATATCCTCTCTCCTGAAAAAGGGTTTTAACATAGAATTCAAATGCCTTAGAGTGAACTCAACAAAATAAAGTTGACGCAATGGAAATATACAAGTAACGTGCCTGCATATAGGTAAACTTTTATTACCACCGATACAAAAGTGGACAGTGGTGCTGCTGCTGATGGCGGCGAAGGAGGTGGTGGGGCTTTTATGCGAAAGTGTTGTTTTATGACGGGTGTCGTTAGTGATGGACCGGGGTTGTTAGTTCTTGGATTTAACTTACGATTATGATTTTATTTTTAGTTGCATTATATATACCGTAATTGCAAATACAACCGATGTTATTAACTTATTATGACCATTATGGGGATTGTATAGCCAAATCCGTTCTATAAAAGTAAAGTGATTTGGATAATTTGTGCTATTGAGTCATTCTAAATTTGTTGCAGTAATTATATTTAAATCTCATCACGGTTTGTGTCATCTTTGGATACAGATTTCAAGTTATATTCCAATTTGTTCCTTAAAGAAACAATTTATGGAATGCTGAAATTCGCCTTCTGCCAGCTGGAGTCTAAGAAATCTTCAAATTAAGGCCCGAGGCTTTCTCCATTCTGTTTTCTAAGTAGAGACCATTTATTCCTTCACTGTCCTATGGCTGATTTCTTATGGATTCTATCTTCCTCCTTTCTGGCCTTTAATTTAGAGAGCTTGCTCTTGGGAAATCTTTATCACGTGGGCTTCCTCTACTTGGAAAGGAAAATCTTTATTTACTGCCATTATGAAGACTGCTCTTAATGCTTTGATTTATATTATTTGGGAAGAAAAAACAAGTGTCTGTTCCAACAGATCCAGAAATGCACCTGATCTTCTTAAAGCCATCAAGGACATTGTTGGATCCCAACTTAGTGGTAGACTTCTTAATAGTGTTGATAGTGTTAATACACATCTTTGCAACCTTGGGACATAGTTTAATTTTGATTCTTTTGTATGTACTTTGTCCTGATGTTCTTTGAACACTGATTTGTAATTGTTTGCTCTTGGGTATAAATTTCAAATTATCCAAAAAAAAAGGTTCAGCTACAATACCTGGCTTTGCCAGGAACCCTCACAAGTCACACCAATCACCATTAGTCTTGAATGATGCTACCTACATCAGCATACTCCAGATTTTGATCGAAGATCATCACAGTTTAATTTGAAATAAAGGTATCCTTAGACCGTAATTAAGAAAAGTCGGGCTGATAGAATAAATCAAATCCAGTAACAAGGAAAACTGCAAAGCACAACTGTGAAAAGTGTTGCTACTTAAAGGCTTCCTAATCCTTAGCAAAAAAATATACCTTGCCCATAACATGGAGAATTGCAACAAAAGAAATGAACCGATGCTCAGGGATCTTGAGTCCGGAGCATCATCTGTGTAAAACTGAAGCTAGTCCCCGCGCCCCACCTGAGGCTCCCCCACCGCTTGTTGTTCTCCTCCTGCGTAGGCTGGTGCTGCCGCCTCATTTCCTCTTGGGAGCTGTTCCGGTTGCCTTCTCTGTTAACCACCACCAAACTTCACAAACTTAAAATTTTCAATACTATATAACACATTGAGCAATTATTATACACTTCTTGATAAGAGCATCGGTGAAGAATTAGTGACTATGCCATGCAATATTGCGCTATATTACATGTCTTACAAGGTGAATGCCATAAAAAATTCTGATCGAAATTACATATAACTACAAGGAAATAATGGCAGAAGGGAACAAGTTCCAGAGAGATCGCTAAATTGCCCAAAGTTCTCAAAGCTCCCCTATGAATTTTTCTAACCTATACAATATATATATAATAATAAACGAAAAATTTGTACTAAAACTTTATTCTCGGAGCCAAATCAAATAATTTTAATTAAACAACAGGATTCCGATACACAATTTTAAGGATCGAGCAAATTACAATCTAATTCATTAAAAGTGTTCGCGCAAGAGCTAAATACTACATAAACCATCATAGGTAACGAATTTCAAGAAGCAACAGATCAAAGCGAAGTAGCATAAAGAGATCTGAAAAAGCATATCTAAATTCAAGCAACCCAGAGAATCGATCTAATCCTATTCGTATCGAATCGGAGACAAAGCAAAAGATAAGACATCGCATTAACAAACGAATCCATTAAAGATCTAATGGAAGGTAAAAGGGAAGGAGGATCAAAACTCACCTGAGTCGACTCGGGAATCAGATCGTGATTTGGCGGAGAGCTTTATAATATCTTTGACTATATCATATACTTTCGTTTGGATATTACCGATGCGCCCTTCCAAGTAGCATTTACCAATCAGTTGTTGCCACGTCATCCATTTTGAGACCCAAACAGAATACAATCAAACTGGTCTCTACGCATTAGGCTCTTTGGGGTTTAAGTTGGCCCAGTTCGGATATATTAATATTGGAATATATAATCATTACTCGTTAGAGTAAATTACATTATATATCCTCAAACTATGACTTAAATTTTATATTAGTCTTTTAACTTTGAGATGTTTTAAATTGTTCTTCAAATTATCAATATCATTCAAACATCTCCTATTAATATACCAAATTATTTAAACATTAATTATCAACTCAAATCTAAAGCGGAAAATATTTAAAATTCATAAATCAAATTTTAAACGTGTATACATATTTCAAGGATAATTTAAATTTACCATGTCATAAAAATTTAATATGGTTATTTATTTAATATATCTTATCCAAGTTATTCATATAATGATATATCATGTTTAAAATTTGATACACGTACTTTAAATTTTGACAACATATCTAAGTTGATATTTAATACTCAAATAGTTTTTTAAACTAACGTAATGGCATGTTTAAAATGATATTGATTGTTTAAATATTAATTAAAAATATTTCAAAAATTAAAGCAATTTATAATTTAAATCATAATTTAAAAATATCTCATGCAATTAACTCTGAAATTAAATAATTAAATCTTAATTAGATTAATATCATAACATTATAATATCTTTAGACTGTAAGTTCAAGGACACCAATTCCCTGATAATTTGTGGTTTAATAAGTAGTTCATACATATTTGGATTAATGCTGAAAAGATGTTGACATTTAATAAAAAGAATACTGCATGAAATCAATCCATAGTTGAAAGTGGTGAAGCAAAAGATTCTGAGGAGTCGTCGTCACAGAAAATAAAGGAGGGGTCCCTTTTTATTGTAATATTCAATTCTTATTCTCTTATTGGGGTTAATTGTAACCTACCATGATTATTATTGTCTGGAGTTTGGACCATGGAAACTGAAATGTCCATTCTATTGCACTGCAACTTGCTGAAGACATTGTGCAGGTAATGTCGTCGGAAAATATAATTAATAGAACCAGCCTCATTTCTCACTTGAGCAACCCATCAGGTGCCCCACCATAATTAGATTGGGTGTAAGTAAATATAGTGTTCAATCAACTATTTATGAATCATTATTTTATTAAATTAAATAAAGAGTATAAATAAAATTTTTTATATTTATTTAATAATTAACGAATACTAACAAATATGTTTGGTTCGTTTATATGCATGAACAAGCTCATTTATCGATTCATTTATCTAATTCTCCCTCTCTTTATTTTTTAAATTTTAATATTGGTGAAGGTATGGACTAAATTGAACACGAGATAAACTTTAGAATTCAAATTCTAAAACCTTGGAAACTTAAGACTAATGACGCAGTGTCATCATTTTTTCGAATATTTTGAACATATAAATGGATTTTGACACAAATCTTGACAAACATATAAATGAATGTGTCCTCCATTGTTTAAACGGTTTTTTTTTTGTTAACACTAAACGAATATATTTACAAACATTAAACGAATTAAGAATACCTTAAAACATAAACAAACGAACATGATATTAAAATTTAAAACGAACATAATTTGAACATAAAAACTTTAACAATAAGCAAATAAACACAAATACTACCATATTCTTTGAAACCTAATTCATTTACACCTCACCTTTATTTTCTTCCTAGCTAAACATTAAGATTTTATTTCATGATCAAAAGGCAGAAGCTAAAACAAATCTCATCATTTCATATTTAATTTGGTTATTTCAAGCATCACTTCCCTTTTCACGATATATATAATATATATATGGACCAGAATCTTTCTCGCTCTTCAAGTGATTGTGATAATTCTTATCTCCATTATAATAAAAGCTAGGGAACCCCATTACTAATTTTCCATTACCACTTTGTCTTTATGACTACATCCTTTTACGAACCATGAAATTTGTGAACGTCAAAACCAAACACAGCAATTAGTTCCAGAAAAAAAAAGGATATAGTTTCTTGAAATGAATCAGTGTGTTCCCAGTTGGGATCTGGACGATAATCATGCCACCGCACGCCACTCCCTCCGCACTAACTCAAACTCCACCGCCGCCGATGTACGCATGTAAGCACTGAAACTAGTCTCGACTGAATCTGTGATTTACTGAATTTAGTGAGTTTTGTTGTTTGATTTGATGTTTGTGGTTTACTTTGCAGGCCGGACTATGAAGTAGCGGAATTAACATGGGAAAATGGCCAACTAGCCATGCATGGTTTAGGTCCGGCACGTGTGCCGGCTAAGCCCTTGATTTCCAACGCTCTTTCCAAGTACAATACTTGGGATAAACCACGGGCTAATGGCACTTTGGAGTCCATAGTGAACCAGGCCACTCGTGTTCCGTATCTTAAGGTTTCTCTTCACGGCGAGGGGATGAAATTGTACCCTGTTTAGACCAACGCCGTTCTGCGGCGGATGCTTTGGTTCCTTGCTCGAAAAGGTCGGAGGAGGATAACAAGACACCTGGAGTCGGAGGATCTCGGTTGGGGGGATGCTCTACTAGGGTGGGATCCTGTAGCGTGCCGACCGGTGCACGAGATAATGAAGTCTTCGTCTCCGGGAAACGCTCACGGGAGGCAACGGGGCGTGTTCCTGTAACACCGGAGTGGAGCGGAAAGGAACAAAGCGCAAGCGCCAGTGCCACGTTCGGGAGAGATAGCCAATACGTTACTTTCGATACGTATGAGAAAGATTTGGGCGTGGGCTTTACTTCTGCTTCCCTTGGTTCTCCGGAAAACACAAGCTCTACAAAACCCAATACCAGAGCCACCACCACCACCGCCGATGATCACGACTCTGTTTGTCACAGTACACCCCAAGTAAAGTTCTTCCATCTAATTATTATTTCATCCTGAAACTATATGTATATACATTTGTTTGTCATTCTTATTCTGGTTATGTTAAAGAGGGAGAGAATGGAGGAGGACAAGAAGGAAACTGGGAAATCTTCAGTTTCAAAAAAAGAAGCAGAGCTGCTGCCATCCATAACCAGTCTGAACGTGTATGCTTTCTCCACCTTGAGTTTTATTCTGAACCTTTTTTAACATTAATTTTACAAGAAAGAAGTATTAATTAAGTTGTTTAATTTCCAGAAAAGAAGAGATAAGATAAACCAAAGGATGAAGACTTACAGAAGCTGGTTCCCATTCTAGCAAGGTACGATTTTTTTATCTAAGCTATGTCAGTATTGTAACGTACGAAGGTAATTAATGTCTAAAAATCACTGCAAATTTCGTTGAATAAAATAGTAAAAGATGCTTTCTTCTTTGTTTTCGTCTGTTCCGATTTAGAGTTAGTTTTACTAAAAACTGAGAAACAACTTCATCCACTCACCTAGGACAAACTTTTTTTGTGTCGTCGTCCAGATTTTCTTTAATAACAATCCACTTAAGATTCTCTTTCATGCATGTCTTTATTCTTACCAGCTTTTAATTGTAGACGCATGGCATATATGAGATTAGACGTAAAGTTATGAGATTCCTTTATTTGGTCCTTGAGGTATCCATACTTTATAGATCAGTTACATACATACATATATATTATTGTTTTTGTGTTTATTACAGACCGACAAAGCTTCGATGCTAGACGAAGTTATTGACTATCTGAAACAACTGCAAGCACAAGTTCACATGATGAACAGGATGAACATACCACCACCAATGATGTTACCGATGGCAATGCAACAGCAACTCCAAATGTCGATGATGGCTCCGGCGATGGGGATGGGGATGGGTGTTATGGATATGAACGGTATCGTCCATCCCAACATCGCGGGCATCTCTCCCGTTATTCCTAATCCTTTCATGAATATGACTTCCTGGGACGGCTCCGGTGAAAGGTTACAACAAGCTGCCTCTGCTGCAATGCCGGACCCTCTTTCCTTGTTCTTGGCGTACCAATCACAGGTACCATTTGTTTTCTATCATTTTAAAAAACATCATATGCCCCACAGATTATGAATGTATCGCCTGTTTGGTGCAGCCGATGAACATGGATGCTTACAGCCGGCTGGCCGCCATGTATCAGCAAAGGCAACAACCACCGGCGTCTGGCTTTAAGAGCTAAGCTTCAAACCATTACTTTGGCTACGTACAAAAACTTGGGTTTGAACTCTTAAACTTTGGCATTGTTTTGGATCCGGATTCGGTACAAACCAGTTGATGTAGTTATTTATTTCTTGATACAAGCGTGTGACTGGTAAATTAGTTTGATTGCTTCAAATTATTTCTCTTTGAATTTGTATTTTCAATATCAATAATCTGCAATGTAATAACAAAATATAATAGTTGCGAGATATATAAGGCGTTCTCATCATTGATGACTTTCCAAGTAAAACTGAACCCTAAACTAGATCACTGGGTATAGTCGACCTGTACTGTAATTGAACGGTTGGTAATCAATCAACATCTTTATTTTTTGTCTACTTTTCCAGGCATCGTAACGTGTAGTGTTCACAAAAAGATAAAACATGTAAATGATTGGATACTCATTTGTCAAGTTGAATTGAGGAATCACCACACAAATTTCTCCATTAACTTTGGCCTTTTGGATACTTTGCAGCCTATATATATATGATCTTATGATAAGTTTAGCCTTCCCGGCTTCAAAAATCAGGATAATTAATAATGGGACCGCTTTGCATTAGTTTTTTCCCATTTGCGAAAATTAAAAAAAAAAGAGATGGATAACTTGGGCTACTCATTTTCAACGAGAGACCCCAAAAGATATTAGATTCAGCAGTTATAAACATCATTGACGTTAATGCGACAGGTAGCCATATTATGTCTAAAGCATATATAAGATTGTGTGATTTTAGACTGGAACGCTTGGAGTACGAGATCACCATAAGCATCCGTTTCCAGATTTTTCTCTCTTCCCCACCCAAACTTCTTAACGACGACCATAAATCACTTATACTTTATTTACTCACCTCATTCGAGTAAATCATTGTCGGTTAAGTTTTTTATTTTATTTTATTTAGTTG